TGAAAATTCAGACTAAATAAATATCTTAAAATTCACTCCATTTGAGGAGACAGAGTCCTGCAAAGAACCTTTTAGGTCTTAGATTCTATCTTCTACCATGTCCTTCTATGTTTTAAACCACCCTGCAGCGGTCACTCTCTGATTAGAAATGGGATACCTCTAAGGGCCGTTTTAGGTCAAGCTTGGAATGTGACTGGACTGAATTCAGTTCATGTCAACAAATGTTTTTGAGCGCTTACTCTGCACAGGTACATGACTAAGCCCCTGTCCACATTATGGGGTCGCTCAACACTCTTCACATCCACCTTTCAAATCCTCATTGCCAGGAGTCCATGTTGCACGGCATCAGGGAACACCACTCAACACCGTGTTGTATGTGAAGGGTTCCACCTACCGTTGTGTCATGGTCAGGCTTCACAGATGCATGAGGCCACCTGGCTATTCCTCTGGTTGTTTTCATTTTGTAATCTAATATTGCTCCCACTAGACAGCAAGCTCTCTGAAAACAGGTATGGTGTATCTTTTTCACTACTGTATTTGCTGCTATAGTTTCACTGCTGCATTTAATAGTACCTTTGAGTGTTCAAATAATTTTTGTTGAACCAATGACTAGGTAGATGGATGAGTGAATGAGCAAACGAATGAATACAGACTTGATTAGAACATACTGGGGGAACTCCAAACAGATGTCTCCTCCATCTGGGTGGATGGTGAAGTTTTAACAAACATCTCTGACAAAATAGGAAGAGATTCTGGGTTAGAGCTCTGCCTCAATTTGGAATGTAGTTTCCTGTAAACAGCAGAAACTCCAACCAACAGTTACGTAAAGACGTTCAGGTTTATTTGTCTCATACAACATAAATGTGGACAGGTAATAAGATCAAGAAGATACAACAATTATACATAATTATGGACCTAACAACAGACCATCAAAATATGTGAAGCAAAAGCAGACAGAATTGAAGGAAGACATAGACAGTTCTACAATAGTAGTTGGAGACTTCATTACCCGACTCTCAATAATGGATAGAACGACCAGACAGAAGATCAGTAAGAAAATAGAGAACTTAACTCAATAAATCAACTAGATCTAACAGATACATACAGAACACTCTACCCAAAAACAATATGCTTATTCTTCTCAAGTGCACATGGGACATTTTCCAGGATAGACCATATATGAGGCCACAAACTTACTCTTAATAGGTTTAAAAAGACAGATACACAAAGTTTCTTCTCTGACCACAACAGGATGAAATTAGAAATAAATAACAAATGTGAAACTGGATTCTCTTCATTTTTTTTTTTTTTAAACTTTTATTTGCAGTACACATGCGGGATCTAGTTCCCTGGCCAGGGATCGAACCCAGGCCCCCTGCATTGGGAGCACAGAGTCTTACCCACTGCGCCACCAGCGAAGTCCCTCTTCATTGTTTTTTTTTTTTTTTTAACATCTTTATTGGGGTATAATTGCTTTACAATGGTGTGTTAGTTTCTGCTTTATAACAAAGTGAATCAGTCATACATAAACATATGTTCCCATATGTCTTCCCTCTTGCGCCTCCCTCCCTCCCTCTTCATTGTTTTTTAACTGCATTTTATTCATATTGAGACAGGAGAGGAGCCACATCTGATGGTTGGCCCAAATCATACTGCAAGGGCATTACTTAATGCTCAAAAAAATTTTTTTTCTTATAAGAGATTACACAGTATTATGAGACAGAATTCAAAAAACGAATTGACACTGACACATAACCAACCAATTTATGTTTATTTATCTTTCAATAAACACTTGAAAAGGGAAAAAAGTAAAACTGGAAAATTCACAAACTTGTGGAAACTAAACAGCACACTCTTACACAACCAATGGATCAAAGAAGAAATCATAAATGGAATTAGAAAACACTTAAAGATAAATGAAAACATAAACACAACCTACCAAAACTTATGGGGCACAACAAAAGCAGTGCTAAGTGGGAAATTTAAATGCTTACATTAACGGGGGGGGGGCAAAGATCTCAAATAAAAAACCTAACTTTACAACTTTAGGAACTGGAAAAAGAAGGATAAACCCAAAACTAGCAGAAGGATGGAAATAATAAATATTAGAGCAGAGCTAAACAAAATAGAGAATAGAGGAAAAGAGAGAAAATCAACGAAACCAAAAGTTTGTTCTTTGAAAGATCAACAAAATCAACAAAACTTTCCCTAGATGGACTAAGAAAAACAGAAGACTGAAATTACCAAAGTTCGAAAGGAAAGTGGGGACATCTCTACCAATTCCACAGAAACAAAAACGTTTATGAGAGTACTACGAACAACTGTACACCAACAAACTAGACAGCCTAGATAAAATGGGCAAATTTCTAGAACTTACCAAGATTGAATCAAGAAGAAATAGAAAGCCTGAACAGACTAATAACAAAATAAGGAGACTGAATCAGTAATCAAAGACCTCCCCACAAAGAAAAGCCCAGAACCAGATGGATTCCCAGGTGAATCCCACCAAACATTTAAAGAAGCGCTAATACCAGTCCTTCTTAAACTCTTCCAAAAAAATAGAAAAAAAAGGAACTCTTCCAGAATCACTATATGAGGCCAGTATCACTCTGATATCAAAGCCAGACACTATAAGAAAAGAAAACTAAAGACCAATTTCCCTTATGAACACTGATGCAAAAATTCTCAACAAAATACTAACAAGCAGAATTCAGCAAAATACTAAAAGAATTATACACCATGACCAAGTGAGATTTATTCCTGGAATGCAAGGATGATTCAACATAAAAATTGATCAACGTAGTACACTATATTAACACAGTGAAGGGAAAAGCCCATGTGATCATTTCAATTGATGCAGAAAAAGCATTTAGCAAAATTCAACATCCTTTTATGATAAAGACACTCAACAAACTAGGAATAGAAGGAAACTACTTCAACATTATAAAAGCCATATATAGAAAACCCACAGTGGACATCATACTCAACTGTGAAAGAATGACGGCTTTTCCTCTAAGATTAAGAAGAAGCTAAGGATGCCCACTTGGCTTCTTCTATTCAACATGGTGCTGGAAATCCCAGCCAGAGCAATTATGCAAGAAAAAGAAATAGAAGGCATCTAAATTGGGAAGAAAGAAGTAAAATTATCTGTTTGCTGATGATATGATCTTATATGTAGAAAACCCAAAAAGATTCCACAAAAAAAAAAAAACCCTGTTAGAATGAATAAATGAATTTGGCAAAGTAGCAGGGTACAAAATCAACACACAAAAATCAGTTGCATTTCTATACATTATCAGTTAACAATCTGAAAGGGAAATTATGAAAACAATTCCATTGACAATAGCATCAAAAAGAACAAAATACTTGGGAATTAACTTAAGCAAGGAGGTGAAAGACTTGTACAATGAAAACTACAAAACATTGCTGAAAGAAATTAAAGAAGACGTAAATAAATGAAAACACATCCCATGTTCATGGATTGGAAGACTTAATGTTGTTAAGATAAAAATACTACCTAAAGTGATCTATAGAGTCAATGCAATTCCTATCGAAATTCCAATGACATTTTTTGCAGAAATAGAAAAACCCATCCTAAAATTCGTATGGAATCTCATGGGACCTCCAATAACCAATACAATCTTGAAAACGAAGAACAACATTAAAAGACTCACACTTCCTGGTTTCAAACTCACTGTAAAGCCACAGTAACTAAAAGAGAGTGATCCTGGGGACCTCCCTGGTGGTGCAGTGGTTAAGAATCCGCCTGCCAATGCAGGCAACACGGGTTCGAGCCCTGGTCTGGGAAGATCCCACATGCCGCGGAGCAACTAAGCCCGTGTGCCACAACTACTGAGCCTATGCTCTAGGGCCCGCGAGCCACAACTACTGAGCCCACGTGCCACAACTACTGAAGCCCATGCACCTACAGCCCGTGCTCCACAACAAAAGAAGCCACTGCAATGGGAAGGCCACGCACCGCAGCAAAGAGTAGCCCCCACTCGCTGTAACTAGAGAAAGCCTGTGCACAGCAACGAAGACCCTATGCAGCCAAAAATAAATAAATAAATAAATAGATTTTCAAAAAGAGAGTGATCCTGGCATAAAGTCAAACACATAGACCAATGGAATAAAATAGAGTCCAGAAATAAACCCTCACATATATAGTCAAATGATTTTTGACTTGGGGGTCAAGACCATTCAATGGAGAAAGGACAGTCTTTTCAACAAATGGTGTTGGAAAAACTGGATATCTACATGCAAAAGAATTAAGTTGGGGCTTCCCTGGTGGCGCAGTGGTTGAGAGTCCACCTGCCGATGCAGGGGACGCGGGTTCGTGCCCCGGTCCGGGAAGATCACACATGCTGCGGAGCGGCTGGGCCCATGAGCCATGGCCGCTGAGCCTGCGCGTCCAGAGCCTGTGCTCTGCAGCGGGAGAGGCCACAGCAGTGAGAGGCCCGCATACCACCAAAAAAAAAAAAAAAAAAGAATTAAGTTGGTCCCTTACGTAACAGCATATACAAAATTGACTCAAAATGATCAAAGACCTCAATGTCAGGCCTAAAACCATTAAACTCTTAGGAGAAAATGTGTGACAAAGTCTTCACAACCATGGCTGTGGCAATGATTTCTTGAATATTACCCAAAAAGCACAGGCAACAAAAGAAAAAATGGACAAATTGGACTTCATGAAAATTTAAAAGTTTTGTGCTCTAAAGACACCATCACCAGAGTAAAAAGGCAACCCACAGAATGAGAGAAAATATTTGCAAATCATGTATCTGACAAGGATTAACATCCAGGATACACAGACAACAAAAACTCAACAACTACAAAAAAATCAATTTGAAAATGGGCAAAAGGCTTGAATAGACATGTCTTCAAAGAAGATATACAAATGGCCAATAAGCACATGAAAAGTGCTCAACATCATTAATCACTCGGGAAATGCAAATCAAAATTGCAACGAGATACCACCTCACATCCATTAGGATAGCTACTATTAAAAAAACAAACAAACCAAAAACAGGAATAAAAACCAAGTGTTGAAAAGGATGTGGAGAAATTGGAAACCCTTGTGCACTGTTGGTGAGAATGTAAGACGGTACATCTGCGGCAGATAACAGTATTGCAGTTCCTCAGAAATTAAAAATAGATTATCATATGATTTAGCAATTTCACTTCCAAAAGAATTGAAAGCAGGGTCTCGAAGAGATACTCGTACACCATGTTCATAACAGCATTTTTCACGAGAGCTAAAACATAGAAGCACCCCAAGTATCTACTGACAGATGAACGGACAAGCATAACGTGATATATACATAAATGGAATACTATTCAGCCTTCAAAAGAAAGGATTTTTCTTTTAAATTTTTCTTCTCTCTTAAGATACTTTAAACTTTATTAATATCTCTTATATTAACAGTAAACCTAAGAGTCCAGAGAAACGTGCCACTAGTTCGGGAGCCACGGGCAAGACTCTCTTCTCTCTGGGTCTTAGTCTCCTTGTCTGTAAGATGAGGGGGACCCAGCCTGCAGCGCCTTTATATGCTTCTGGCTCTGCATCCGTTCTCCCCACTCGCCAGCAATCCCAGACATTTCCATGGGGCTGCGATTTACAAAGCTATTCGAAGGTACCACCCTACATGAGCCACATCTTTTCCTGGAGTCACGTGGGGCTGACCTCCTGCCGTCCACACACAGAGCTAAGACAGGAAGGATGCATTGAGAGCCAGTAGGATGGAAGGTTTCCCACAGGTCCATCCAGAGCCCCATTCCTGGTCATCCTCAATGAAGCCAGCCTGGCTGATGGCACAAGAGGGACAGTCCTGGGGAGCCCAGCTGCCTTGTCGGTCACCATCAAGGGGAGCAGGTGGAGGCAGACGTGGGTGGGGGCTGAGCCCTGGGCCTCCTGTGACCCACACAGCCCTCCAGTTGGCAAGGCTGGAGACACAAGCTTATGTCTTCTTAACCACGCTGTACACTGGCTGCTGCGTCTGGGGCTTCTGGGAGGGAATTCCGTCCGTCTTAGAATCCTGGCTTTGGGAATCAAATACCACTGAGGTGTAGTGAAGGTTTTCCCTGGGGAGCCCCTGCAGAGACAGAGACCAGAGGCTCAGGAGAGGCAGGGGAAGCAGGAACCCCCAGCTTAGGGCCTTAGAGAGGTTCCACTGGGGGGCGATGGCCCCACCCTCCCCCACTGTCCTGGCCTCTTTCTCTTGCAAGGGCTGGTCTCCAAAATCCTGTCCACCCACCTGCTCCACCCGACCTGGTCAAGACACAGCACAAAGTCCCAGGCCTCAGAGCCGGGGGATTCCCTGGGGTCTACTTTGAGGTCATTAGTCACCAAGTTAGAAAAACAAGGATGTTGTTAGTCTCGGGGCCACGTGTCTGATGCTTAAATCTCCCCCTCAACTTCTCTAACAACCGATCCCTCAGGCTCTGCCTAAACTGTTCCACTAATGGGTGGCTTACGACCCTGGGCCGGGTGGGGTTGGGAGGCAACCTCTTCCATTATTCTACTTTACAATGGCTGTGGGCTGACCCACAGGGGGTCATCGATAAAAATCTGAAAAGCAGAGTTCATCCCAAAGAGATCATAGGACCAAAGCAGTGCGAAATCGCAGTCTTTGACATTGGGTGTATGGTACATGGTCAGTGCCTGATAAATGCTGTACTTTATTGAATATTGATTATCCCCGGCCATTTCAATAGCTCCTTCATCTCCACCCCACCCCCTCACCCCCAGCTACAAGGACAACCACCTTTGGCAAAATCTACACTTGCCCCGTGTCCTACGTGTCCTTGTCCTAGAGAAACAGCGTGGATCCCCTCACTCCCCTCTCTGCTTGCTGCCACCCCCCTAGGTGATGCCTCTATCGTCGCCCGGGGTCCCTGTGACGGGAGCTGGGCCCTTGCACTCACTAAGTTGCTGTACTCCACCTCCTCCTGTGTGGGTCGCACGGGCTGTTCCAGAAGGGGCCACATCGGCAGCTCTAGATTCTCATAGCAGGGTTCGCTCAGCTCAGCAGCCTAGGGTGGGCAGGAGGTGTGAGGGCTTGGTGGGTGTCCACAGAGCCCCTGCATGGTCCAGCCCAGAGGGCCTTCTGTCCCTCCTTCTCTGCAATCATCTCCCCTTTCCCTCTCTGCTCTGAGCGTCCCAGTCTTCCCACTCGGCCTCCCCCTTCCCACACGCTGGTCCTCTCAGGGGAGAATGTGAATGGTCAGGTCAACAGCTGGGCTGGGAGGACCCTCCCTCACTCCACTTTCCCCTGCGGTGGGAAGAGACTGGCTAGAGTTCATGATGACCCAATGACCAGATCTCCCAGGCGTTGTTCTTCCTGTTTGGGGTGAGCACCTCACTCCACCCATGTGTGATCCACACAGACCTCCACTGGCTGATGGGACAGTTCAGGCCTCCAACATCCTCTGCGCTCCCCGCAGCTACCCAGACACTCCTCCTGCAGTAGCCTTTCTTACCTGACTGGGGTTCTGGGGAGGTTCTGGATTCTCGCCAGCTAAAGAGACAAGAGAAGAGAAAGGAGGTCGAATCCCAGCGCAAGGTAGTGATGGGGATCCCTACGGTCCAACCGGAGGAAGGCCTTTCCCTAGAGACTTCAGCCCTGGGGACCTACTGCTTCAGGCCGGTAGCATGGTAGGAACTCAAGGGTTTGTTGAATGGGTGAATTAGTCAATGAGGACATGAATGAATAAACAAATGAGCAGGAAGGATCCAGCTTGGGGAGAGGGGCCAAACAAAGGTAGTTCTCCAAACAGTCACGCATAAAAATGTTCCCCAGGGACTTCCCCTGCAGTCCCCTGGTTAGGACTCCACGCTTCCAATGCAGGTGGCATGGGTTCGATCCCCGGTTAGGGAACTAAGATCCCACACGCTGTGTAGCATGGCCAAAAACAAACAAAAAAAGTTCCCAGGTAGGAGAGGCAAGAAAGGAAGGACACTCATTTAAAAGGAAGTGTCTGTATGATGAAAAAGTTCTAGAAGTCTCTTTTGCAACAATGTAAATATACATAACACTGCTGAACTGTAAACTTAGAAATGGTTAAGATGGCAAATTTTATGGTAGGGGGCTTCCCTGGTGGTGCAGTGGTTAAGAATCCACCTGCCAATGCAGGGGACTGGGTTCGAGCCCTGGTCGGGGAAGATCCCACATGCCACGGAGTAACTAAGCCCGTGCACCACAACTACTGAGCCTGCACACTAGAGCCCGTGAGCCACAACTAATGAAGCCTGCACACGTAGAGCCCGTGCTCCGCAGCAAGAGAAGCCACCGCAGTGAGAAGCTGGCGCACCGCAAAGAAGAGTAGCCCCGGTTCACCGCAACGAGAGAAAGCCCGCACACAGCAACGAATACCCAACTCAGCCAAAAAAAAAAAAAAAAATTATGGTACGTATTTTTTTACCGCAATTAAAAAAAATGCAGATCTGCAGGCCCCACTGCTGATGTACTAAATTATCTACGTTGAGGATGAAGTCCAGCTATCTGTGTTTTAACAAAGCCCTAAATTTGTTTAAATAAAATAATAAAGTAAAAGGCAGTGTCCTTGGGCTTCCCTGGTGGCGCAGAGGTTGAGAGTCCGCCTGCCGATGTAGGGGATGCGGGTTCGTGCCCCAGTCCTGGAAGTTCCCACATGCCGCGGAGCGGCTGGGCCCGTGAGCCATGGCCACTGAGCCTGCGCGTCCGGAGCCTGCGCTCCGCAACGGAAAAAGGCAGTGTTCTTGTGGAGACCTAGAGCCACATCAAACTACACAAAGTCACAAGGGTCATCTGCTCTGACCCCTGGCCTGGGCGTCCGTCCCTCCCAGACACGAGGCCCTGTCAGCTCTGAGGGATCGCAGCTCAGGTCACACAACCTTTTGTTTCTGGCTCCTGCAGCGTGGCTCTGCAGGTGTCCTGCCTCCGAGCAAAACCCTGTGCACCCCTGGCCCTTTCAACCTGGAGCCGCAGGAGCCGATGGGGACAGGTGATGCACACACAGCCAGAATGCCCTATAGGTCTAGGTGCACCGCCAGGCAACTCCAGAGCCCAGTCCACTGAACGCTGCGGGGAGACACTGTCCAGCCTCAGGGAGGGAGCCCCAAAGTCAAAGGTGAGATACCCACCTTCAGGAGACACAAGGGCACGTATGACAGAAGTGTTTGCTAAGCCCCATCAATTGACTCAGCAGAACATGCAACCAGGCGCTCTGAGATATGAACACATTTTGTTCCAAATGCTGCAGGCGGGTGCCCCACTACCCTCCGTCCCTTCAGCTGAGATGGGTGATTTGATGATAAGGAGGAAGGGGGCTGGTGAGGAAGGGATGGGAGTCCATTCCGGGGGAGGGAAGCTGGCATTGAAAGAGTTGGGTGGCAGCCAGCTGGACGGGAAGCACCCTGAAGGTGGAGCCAGTCTACCCTGGTCATGACAGTGTCCCCAAGAGCCCGGTACAGGCCCTCGTGCACAATAGGTCCTCAAAACAGCTTTGCTGTGTGAGTGAATGAATGAATGAACAAGAGTGGGCTGAGGGGAAAAACCATGAGTGGGCGGTAGGGCAGGCATCAGGCTGAGGCGGGAGGGGCAAGGACACTGGGTAGACAACCCCAGATGCAGCCAGGAGACAGGAGCTGAGACGCAAAGCAGGGGAGGGACAGTCAGGCTACTTGAACAGAAAACCTTTCTCCTGTTAAACAAAGATCACGTAACAAGGTGTGATCCATCCGCACAAGTCAACTCTGAGTCAGGGATTTTCGGAAGAACATTGTTAGCAGGGAAAATCATACAATATGTTAAGGTTTAAAAGTGGAACTACAGTATGATGCAAACATTTTAAGAAGTCAGATGTGCAAAAGGGACTGCAAGGACGTGACTCAAATGCCCGTGGTTGGTTTTCTCTAGGTGGTGCGAGCTTCCATTTTTATTTATTAGGGTGAATTTATTTCCTTCTTTGTGCTTTACTTACTTTTCCAGTTTTCTACAGTGATCACACATCCCTTTTTTAAGCGGGGGGGTGGGGGTGGGGCGGTGCTTTTTAGGTGAAAGGGCACCGTGGAGATGGCTGGGACCCACAGATCTGAGGCAATCCAGGCTGGGAAAATCCCCATGTGGTAAGCAGTATGGGTTGAAGTTTAGGGGAAGGGTTCCCAAAAATGATATGCAAGCAGCAGATGGGGAAGAGGAAGTGGTTTTCTTTCCATCCGCTGATTTCTCTCCTAAAGGCCTGAGCTGTGCTGGGGGGAGAGGCTGAACCCCACGGGGATGCTGGAAGTGAGAGAGTAATGCAGGGTCCCCTCCACCCGGCCCCCAGAAAGTACCAACTCCCAGTTAGCACTGCAGCTATGGAGCAGAGCAAGCTTGAAAGGCTCAGCATTGGTAACTACGCACGAACATCCCCCCAGAACCCTGTGCGCATGGAGTCAAGAACTCTCAACACAGTAAGCAAACTTAGGGCTCACATTCCGTCTCAGGCAGAAACTGGCTGTCCTCCAGGTGGCAGTTGGGGCTCCAGCCAGCAACAAGACCACAGCTTCACTGGTTCCTCTGTTCTTCTGTTTATTTAAATTTGCTCAGCTGTTTATTGAGCACCTACTTACTGAGCGCTGGACAGGATGCTGGGTGCCCCCTACGTTCTCTCTTTTAATCTGAGCTCAGAGAAGAGTGACTGGACCACAAGATGCCTGGAGCTTCCTGGGGTGCCCAACGTGACGATATTAAATAATACATTCATTCAACAAATACTGTACTTTCTCGAGTCAGGGTCCCTGATCTTAAGGAGTCGCACGGGCTGGTGGGCAGGCAGGCATGGAAGCAGGTGTGACAATCTGGTGTGAAAAGGGCTATCGTGGTGGAAGAACCGAGGTCCACCCGGAAAGGGCCCCTAAGCTGCTCTTGGGGGGCCAAGAAAAGTCCCAGAGGAAAGGAAATCTGAGAGCAGTGCTTAGGGCCCAGCAGGAGTGAGCCACAGAGAGGCAGGGGGGCACCCCAGGCGCCCAGAGCAAACGCAGAAGAAGTTGGGAAACAGCTGCCTTCCAGAGTGTAAGGATGGGCAGGTTGCAGAGGGCCTTCAGTGTCCTGTGGGGACCTGGACTTTGGAGAGTGTGGGAGGTCACAGAAGGGTTTAGACAGAAGAGGGACCCTGCTTCACAAGCACGCACCCCAGGCCCCGCTGTGGGAAACGCCTCTTTTCGGGGAGCCGTCTCCCACAGCCTGGATCTGCCAGGACACCGCCTCTGGGGTCTGCCCTCTAGGGTCACCCGGGATATATGGTCTCAGGGGATGCATCTGAGGACCATTCTGGGAACCAGGACACAGAGCCTCAGAGACCAGAGGCTGTGGGTGGGTCCTGCCTACCCCGGGGCGGCAGGTGTAAGGAACTCACTCACATTTGATCTGTCTCTGAACCATTCTCCAGGCCAGCAGTGAGATGCCCCCCAACAGAAGCAGCAGAAGTGCCAACAAGGCCAGCAGCACTTGCAGCCTGAGGGGAGAGAGGGTGAGGTGGGCATCACGCCTTCCCGCTCTTGTTCAATAGATAGATAAGGTCCCATTGAAAAAATGTAGATGGTATAAGGTCTCCTTTCTACACATCCCTCATCTACCTAAATCCCCCCCCCCAACACACACACGGTATACCTAAGAACCTTCCAGAGGCCCTTTATTCAGATACAAGAAAATACGAATGTACATTATTTTTATATATGTCCTTTTTTCACACAAAAGAGGCAGGGTATAAACACTAGTTTTTTTACTTAACAATGCATCTTGGAGAGCTTTCCATGTCAGTACATGAAGAAGTCCTTCAGGGTGTTTGATTTGTTTTGTTTTGTTTTTTTTACAGCTGCATAGTATTCCATTGCATGGACGGACCATAAATTATTTAACTCTTCCCTCTCTATGGGCATTTCTCCCAGTCTATTGCAATTACAAACATGGCTGCAAAAACTCACCTTGTAACTATACCATTTCACACTTGGCCAAGCAGCAGCTGAGTTCCTGGGACGCTGACATAACTTGGGGTTTCTGGTCCCTCACTTGCTCGGGCCCCTTCTTTAATGTCTAGTTTGCATCCGTAACGTTCTAGTCTTTTTCTTAAAGATGCACTTCCCTGCCCCCTGTAAATTGCATAGGCTTCAGCCATACAAAACCCAGCTCTGTCCCCCAGGCGTGCATCTGCAGAGCCAGCTTCTGGAAGTGGCATATTTGGGGGCTGAATTTCACCTCGCCTGTTATTAGGATTGTCACTTGGGTTGTCAGGAAGCCAGTGGAGGGGCCTTGGGGGTGTCATGTAATAAAGAACCTGACTGGCCTTTGCCCCTGGCTCCTGGAAGGAAGACTCTAAATCCTTGGGATTTTCCTAGTAATAGGAGTACATTTGTTATTCACGAGCCCCTTAGATCTGCCTGAGTTCTTGCTGAGAGATGGCATGACCCAGGATGGAAGCTGGTCACCACGTAATCAGAGATTTGGGGCTCGGAGCCAGCCTGACCTTCAGGGAAGTGAAGGGGGGCTGGGGATCTAGGTCAGTCATGTGGAAAATGATTCAATCAGTCAGGCCTGTGTCATGAAACCCAAATAAAAACGATGAACACGAAGGCATGGAGGAACTTCCTGGCTGGTGAACACATCAGTGTCCTGGGAGGGTGATGCCCCCTGACTCCACTGGGAAAGGGCACGGAAACTCGGCATTCCGGATCCTCCCAGACCTCGCCCTGGGTGTCTCTCCATTGGCTGGTCCTGACATTTACCCTTTATGATAAAACTGTAAGTACAGCACTTCCCAGGGGAACCCCCAAATTTGTATCCAATTGATCAGAAATGTGATGACCTGGGGAATCCCCAAAGTGCTCCGGCATTTGTGAGGTCAGGCCGTCTTATGGCACTGAGCCTAGGGAGTCTCATGGGACGCTGGGGTCTGTGCTAATTCCAGGTGGTCAGTGCCGGAATCACCTTGCAGGGCACCAGGTGGTGTCAGAATAGAGAGTCTGTGAACCCCAGAAATGGTTTCTGACAGTATGTATTTTCTGGGGAGAGAATCTATAAATGTTGTCAGATTCTCCTGGGGTTTTTGGCCTCCCCCCCCCCAAAAAAAAGGATCGAGAATCACGAATTTAGAAGAAAGAATCTAAGACTTTGGAATCTCACAAACTTGGCTTGGGAGCCTAGCCTGCCTCTGTGGCTGCAGGACCCAGCCAATCACTTAACCTCTCAGAGCCTTGGTGTACTGGTCTGTACAATGAGGGTAATAATGGTAAAGGTTGTGAGTAACAAATGAGAACATTCATGTGAGGCATTCAGTACGTGCCTGGTAGGATATCATCAGCTCTCATTAAATTTACTTTCCGGGCTTCCCTGGTGGCGCAGTGGTTGGGAGTCCGCCTGCCGTTGCAGGGGACACGGGTTCGTGCCCCGGTCCGGGAGGATCCCACATGCCGCGGAGCGGCTGGGCCCGTGAGCCATGGCCGCTGAGCCTGCGCGTCCGGAGCCTGTGCTCCGCAACGGGAGAGGCCACAACAGTGAGAGGCCCGCGTACCGCAAAAAAAAAAAAAAAAATTTACTTTCCCTCCAGCCACCCCCCAGCTTCTGCCCGGCCTGAGCCCTCTCTCAGAGCCCAAGGCAGGTTCACCCTGACCCCTACAACCCAAGCTAGAGATGCAGACCGGCTTCCAGCCTGGATGCAAAGAGAGCCAGAGGTCCCCAGCCAAAGCGATGGGGTTCCCGGCCCCAGATGGACAAGAGGAAGCCCACCTCCAAGACATGGGGACTCAGGTGCCTTACCCCCACCCCTGCATGGCTTCCTCCTCGTTGCTGGCACTGTAGGTGGGACTCGCCATGGCCAGGGCGGTGAATGACATTGTTGAAATACTGATTGTGATTGTCGAGGACTTGGCCACAGCAGTAGGGTGGGTTGGCACTGATGCTGGTGCAGAAACACAAATTAGACCCAGGGAATGCTCTCTGACTCTCCCACCACTCGCCAATACCTTCTTTGTTTGATTTCACACGAAATGCTCACTCAGGAAGAGGGCAGGATGGAGGACCCTGCAGCCAAAGTCTCGCCAGGACCCTCCCGGGGCTGAGTGAGCATTTCCTAACAGGACACAGGTCCCCAACAGCCCCGATTCCATCCTGCTGATGAGGTCAGGGTCCTCTGGAGGGCCCACAGTCACTCCCACTCCCAGGCTCGTTCTCCCCCCACCCCAAGTCACAGCCACACGCTGCCTGCCAGAGACGGCTGTTTGGACTGCAGATCTTGTTAGCACCCCCACTGCACTGGGCACCCGGCCACCACCCCCTCTCCACTCAGCTCCCCACCTTCTGTGGGGCTGCCCCCAGCACGCCCTCCTCTCTCCTTTGCACACTCACTCTCTCAGCCTCCCCTTTCCCTGACAGGCACCTTCCCATCGCTCAAGACTGAGGAGAGGGGCCAGCGCCCTGACTCTCTCCGTGTCTCTCTCTCTCTCTCTCACACACACACACACACACACACACACACACACAGTTTTGTCTCTGATCAGATTTCTGCCTTGGCGAATCCGACCTGACACTCTTCAGGTAACCCTGTTGCTGGTACAGGGGGAAGGGGTGTGCACGGCTCACCTGGCAACACAGACACCACAACCTGGACGGTGGGATCAAATGAAAATGGGACCGTGATCCCACACTCGTACTTTCCTGCTTGGTCCTCTCTGAGGCTCTCCAAGGTCACTGTGAAGGTGAGGTTTGCAGGATGGTCCCTGATGGACACGTGGCCCCGCACCACTTCTCTCTCTGGCTCTTTGGTCTCCACAGTCTTCCACGGTAACAAACATGGGGCTTTGCACCAGTATTTGCTATTGTCTTTGTATTGCTCCGTGTACCGACACTCCACGCTCAGGGATCCCCCCACGACGCCTGTCACTCTGCTGGGGCCCCACAGGGACAAACAGCCTGGAAAACACAACCGAGTCTGGCTGTTCACTAGGTGGGCTTGGGTCAGGGGCGCGCTGGGGTCACCCCCAGTGTTCCCCCATCTCATGCCAGCCACCTCCCACCAGCCAGAGAGTCCTCCCCCGTCCACGCTGTCACCCCTAAGATTTGATCACAGCAGCTCCTTCCTCCAGATCCCAATCTCCTTTCCTCTGCCCTTCCCACCCCTCACCAACCAGACACCTCCCACTTCCGAACTTATCTGGACAATAAGAGCTCGCCTGCAAGCACCCGGCTCTTCCTGAGGGACAGCATCTCGCCCTGAGGCCTGAGCAGCTCGGTAACCTGAGGAAGCGCTCACAGCAATCTGTTCCCACCGAGGGAATATATACCAAGGCCAAGAAAGGGCTGCTAAATATTTCACAAAAGAAGACTGGATACACTTGGTAAACTTTGTGGATTAAAAAAAACACCGGGTTTCCCTGGTGGCGCAGTGGTTGAGAGTCCGCCTGCCGATGCAGGGGACGCGGGTTCGTGCCCCAGTCCGGGAGGATCCCACATGCCGCGGAGCGGCTGGGCCCGTGAGCCATGGCCGCTGAGCCTGCGCGTCCGGAGCCTGTGGCCCGCAGCGGGAGAGGCCGCAACAGTGAGGCCCGCGTACCGCAAAAAAAAAAAAAAAAAAAAAATCCTTCACACACACAGAAAGTTTACTGATGAAAGCCTTCATTTCATCCTGGGTCTTACTTCCGTTTGCGCAGCTCCTGTAGACTTAATTTTCAAGGGAAGCTAGTGTTCGTTTGTTCTTTTTTTTGGAACCTCATGGTTTGTTTGTAAGATTTTATGTCTGCCATTTTCCCAGAGAGTCCTCAGCTAAGGGGAGTTGGGGGACGAAGACGATGCACGTGACGTTAATGCTAGCCACCAAGCCGAGGACACGCCCCCCTCCCTGATGCTTCTGGGTACCACTCCTCACACCCCTGTAATTCTGTGATCAGGCCCCCAGAGTGGTGGGGGAGGGGTGGCTTGCTCTCTTTCGCTAGAGTTAGAACTCTTTAATTTCACTTGCTTTTTCAGGTTCTTAAATCACATGAAGACGCTGGAATGTAAACTCCAGGGGCCTCCTTCTTATATCTTCAATGTCTACGAGTGCCCGACACATAGTAGGCCCTCAACAAACACTTGGGTGTGAGCACCTCTCCCACCCCATGCAGCTCTCAGTCCACAGGTGTCCAAAGCTGACTGCAAACTCCCATCCTCCCACTCCCGGGTGCCCATCAGGACGTCCTCTCTTGGCCTGGGTGGCAGACGCCCTTCAGAGAAACCTTTCCTAGCCCCGTCACAGGTGTGACGTTTCCTGAGATTTTCTGCAGCCATGGCCACGGTGAAGTGGAAAGGGCAGCAGAAGAACCTGGGTTTTGTCGGTACTATGACATATCTGCTGTGTGTTCTGGTGGCAAGTAACTTAACCTCTCTGAGCTTCAGATGCCTAATCTGCTATGTGGGGATGATCGGTAAGCCTCACGTGACATTTGGGGGTGTTGAATGAGATAATGGGTGTAAAATGCCTGGCAAATAATATTAGGTTGAACCATATGAAATTGCTGACATTCTACTATTTTTGACGAAGAAAAAAGGAATTTCAGAAAATTCAATCTAATAAAAATAGATAATCCTCTGTCCAGCTGAAGGAAGACACGAAAAGATAAAATAATCACAGAGACAGAGAAAATTAAAAGAATCAGAGACGGTCCTTTGCAGAAATTCTCTACAGATAAATGTGTAAATCTGGATGAATGTGTGATTTTCTAGAGAAACAAAAATCAGTAAAACTGACACATACCAAGTGCTTAAAAGATAAATGTCTCTCCCAGCCCTTCCTTCACGTAAGATGCTGCCTCTGGCCCCACATCCAGACTTGATTCCCTGCCTCTCCTTGACTGTAAATTGTCACCTTTCTCTGCCTGGCTCTCAGCTCCCCTCCCTGGTCTGGGTCACCCCATCACCCCCACCCACAGTACCCAACCCTCTGTCTCCAGGGTCTACTTTCCCTTTGCTCTACCTCTCCGTCTCTCTTTGTTTCTCTCCCTGTGTCTCTGTCTCTCTGTCTGTCCTCCTCTCTCTCCATCTGTCTCTCTCACTGTCTCTTTTTTTCTGTCTCTGTCTGTTTCTCTGTCTCTCTGTGGGTCTCTGTCTCTGTCTCTCATTGTCTCTCTCTCCCTATCTGTCTGTCCCTCTCTGTCTGTCTGTCTATCTGTCTCTATCTCTTCTAACAGGATGCTCCTTTTTGTCCTAATGTTTTACTTTAGAAGTGCAAAGTCTCATCCCACTAGATCCCAGATAAACGAGTGAATCATCCGGCGCAAGAAGTCGAGAGAGGAACACATGCCTACGCACACAACCCAGGAGAAAAGAGTAAAGCCAGAGCAGAAGTTAGTGAATTAGGAAGAGGAAAACCATGGAACCAGTACGTACACTGAAAAGCTGATTTTTCGTTTGGGAGAAACAAACAACAAAATAGACATTCTTGTGAGTAGCTAGATCAAAAAAAAAGGAGAAGTCACGCATACACAATTAAAAAGAAAATAGCCCGGGGTAATTTGCAAGTCTCTACAAAAACACTTGTAAACTTGGGCAAAACTGGTGATTTTCTAGGAAAGTATAAATCACCAGTATTAGCCCAGAAAAGATTATTTTTAATGTAGACCAATACTGGTAAGTGTTATCAAGGGGTCCTTTCCCAATGATAACTATGTGAGGTGATGTAATTATTTCACAGTGTATATGGGTATCAAAACATCACCGTGATTATACACCATAAATATACACAAGCTTTATTTGTTAATTATACCTCAGTAAAGCTGGGGGGAAAGAAAAAAAAAAGAAGTTCCTTTTTCTTTCCTTTCCAAAAAAAGAGGAGCGAAACCCAGACAGTTTCACAAGTTAGTTCTCTCAAAACCTTCAAGGACCAAACAATCTCAATTTTATTTAAACATTTGCAGAGGATAAAGAAACAGGGAAACCTCCCTAATTCTTATCATGAAGTCCGTATAATACATCAAGACTAAAATCCAGCCAAATATCTTAATATAATTCGCCGCTTGAATAGTTCAAAGGAGAAAAAAGTACAGGCATACTTAGACAATATTGCAGGTTTGGTTCCAGACCACCATAGTAAAGTGAGTATCACAATAAAACAAGTCACGTGAAGTTTTTGGTTTATAAAAGTTATGTTTACACTATACTATGGTCTAGTTAGTGTGCAATAATATTATGTCTTAAAAAAACAATGTACAGGGCTTCCCTGGTGGCGCAGTGGTTGAGAGTCCGCCCGCCGATGCGCGGGACGTGGGTTCGTGCCCCGGTCCGGGAAGATCCCACGTGCCGTGGAGCGGCTGGGCCCGTGAGCCATGGCCGCTGAGCCTGCGCGTCCGGAGCCTGTGCTCCGCAACGGGAGAGGCCACAGCACTGAGAGGCCCGCGTACTGCAAAAAAAAAACAAAAAAAACAATGTACATGCCTTAATTAAGAAATACTTCGCTAAAAAATGCTCCCCATTATCTGAGCCTTCAGTGACTTGTCATCTTTTTTGCTGGTGGAGGGTTTGAAATATTGCAAGAATTACCAAAATGGGACAGAGACACGTAGTGGGCGAAAGCTGTTGGAAAAATGGAGCCAATAGACTTGCTTGATGCAGGTTTTGCCACAAACATTCAATTTGTAAAAATAATACAAATAAACACGCCAAAACAAACCAGAAGACCCCCGCGGTATCGATGGAGCACGATAAGGCGTGGCCTGTCGTCATCTCTATAGAAAATGGAAAGGCGAGCGACACCTGATGCTGCTGTTTTTAAGAACACAGGGGATGCCTTCTTTACACTTAACGGAAACTCTGGACACCAGCCCAGTCAGGGACAAGGCAGGCATGACTGCTGCTGCCTCTCTCCTGGGCATCATTCTGGCCAAACCAGCCCGTGATCAATGAGAGAGGAAACCAGAGAAACAGCGAACCCTCCATGCAGGCAGATCCCGTGAACACCTTAGAGGGTCAGTAGAAGAATGAGTGGTGGGACTTCCCTGGTGGGGAAGTTAAGACTCCCCACTCCCAATGCAGAGGGCCCAGGTTTGATCCCTGATCAGGGAACTAGATCCCACATGTATGTCGCAGCTAAGAGTTTGCGTGTCGCAACTAAGAGTTTGCGTGCCGCAACTAAGGAGCCGGTCACCGCAACTAAGGAGCCCACCAGCCGCAACTAAGACACAGCACAACCAAATAAATAAATATTTTAAAAAAATGAGTGGTGAGAGGATGACCAGTTTCAAAATTAATACACAAAAACTCACAGCTTTCCTATCGACAACTAGTTGGCAAATAGAATTGAAGAAAACATCAATTTATAAGCAAAACGACCCCCAAATTAAAAATGCCGGGAATAAACCTAGCAAGACTGCAGGAGCAACCTGAGGAGAGCCCTGAGAGCTCCTGGAGGCTTAGGAGAGGAATAAGTGCAAGGACACCCTCTTCTGCCCGGAGCAAACCTCTCCCTTCTGTCCCACAGCTGCTCTGCCCCACTCTCCCCATGGGATGGGAGTCCCATCTCCCTTCCTTGGAGACCACGGCCCCCTAGTCCTCAGGCCCCTGCCCCTCGAGCCGCCCTGGACAGTCATTCACCTCCATGACCCTGAGACCAAGGCCTGCCCCTGCCCGGTCCCCAAACTTCCTCCACCCCCTGGGACCCGTGAACCACAGGGCGCCTCCTGACAATAAACACGTCCCTGGGTGCGCTTGGTGGTCACTCTGCCACTCACTCTGGTGTGTAATAATTCATCCCCAAACCTCCTGCAAAGCCTCTCCTCCGGGCCCACATCTTTGCCCCACTGTGGCTCATCTAAGGCCAGATGGTTGCAGAAGGGGAGACAGACCCTCAGCCCTACCCCTCCGTGTCTTATGCGGTGGACAGAGGGCGTCCCATCCTGAGTCTCCTGACCCCTCTCCTGCAGCTCTCGCCCTCGCACCCTCCCTCCTCCCGCTGCCCGCCTCCCACCCCACTGCAGCCCCTCACCTGGGACCCAGAGAAGCAGCAGAGCCGGGGTCAGCCACGTGGCCTGGGACCACCAGGCCATCTCTCCAGCACAGATGTCGTGTGCAACAGCGCCAGGCCACAGCTGGCCCCAAGGCTTCAGTCCCCCCTCGAGGAGGAGTGTCAGGCCTCCAGGTTCCCACTTCTGCTTTTCTTCGTGCTTCGCTGCTTCCTCGTTCAGCTTCTTTTCAGTTCTGTTCCCGGAGCTCTGAAAAGATGGAGGTCTTCGCTGAGGGAGCAAGGCGACCGCCGGGGCCTGAGACACCCCGGCCGTGTTACAGGTTCTGTACGTATTTCCGGTAAGGAGACCCTCCCCAGTCCCACAGCTCACCTCCTCTTCCCTCCCACCCCCCAAACCACAGTGTCAAGGTCCCTCCTAATCCAGCCAGTAACTCCCTCAGTTTCCCCGTAGTTGGGGTGGTCAGGGTGAGCGCCCTGGGGGAGGAGCAAGGGCCCTGGACAGCACCCACAGAGCGACTGCCCTGGGGACCAGCACTTCCAGGAACACCCCCGGCTCAAGGCCTGGACCTCCAAGTTGGCACGATGACCCCAGAGTCCCTGAATGATTGCTCGTCTTGGACACATGTCCTCCACTTGGCCTGAAGGTACTAGGGCTGTGACCTTCCTTCCCATGCAGTTCCCACTGGACCCAGCTCAGGGCTGAGTACAGAGCAGGTCTCAGCAAGCCTGCAGGGACCCCTCCTTCGGGGATCTCAGACTCTAAATATACACACACATATTCCTCGTGACAAGTGCCCCCAGCTCGCACAGAATGGCCACACGAGCGTAGGAAACTAGTCCTAACGCGTGAGGAGGGCTAATGTGTCACCTGAGGGCTTGCAGATAGCAACTCCGAATGCCGCAGTCCGGAGTCCCTAGAATGCCCTTCCCTTCCTGCTCTGGCTCCAAAGTTTCCAGAAATGTATATCTTTCAGTTCAACCACCAAAGTCATTGCCAAGGTCTTGAATGTCAAGGTTAAGGGGCAGATGCACCGGACTGAGAAGAAGCAGGAAGCTAGGCTGTGGCTTGTCCACGTACCGCTGGCGTGACCTTGACCAAAACCTGTGACTCCTGTAAAATGTTAATAATAATAGCTAGGGGCTTCCCTGGTGGCGCAGCGGTTAAGAATCCGCCTGCCAATGCAGGGACACGGGTTCGCGCCCCGGTCCGGGAAGATCCCACATGCCGCGGAGCAACTAAGCCCGTTCGCCACAACTACTGAGCCTGCGCTCTAGAGTCTGTGAGCCACAACTACTGAAGCCCATGCGCCTAGAGCCCGTGCTCTGCAACAAGAGAAGCCGCCGCATTGAGAAGCCCGCACACCGCAACGAAGAGTAGCCCCGGCTCGCTGCAGCTAGAGAAAGCCTGCGTGCAGCAACGAAGACCCAGTGCAGCCAAAAATAAATAAATGAAATAAATAAACTTATTTTTAAAAATAATAATAATAGCTAATTTGAGGGAGTAAATAGTATCATAATTATAAAAATACCTGAATATGGGGTAATGGTATCCTCAAGCCAGGTTTTTTTCCCGACGGAATAAGTCTGTCCTCCAATGAAAGGCGATAGGAAAATAGGATTTGTTAGGGAGACATATGCTTTACAAAGAGTCCACGGGGTGCACTTGTCTTTAGAAAGAAAAGATAGAGAAACACTTGAACTACGGCAAAGAGGAAAGGGCCAGAGGAATTGATCCCCGCCACAGCCTCCTGGTCGCCCTAACCTGTCCACGAGCCCCAGCAAGAAATAGAATGATGTAAATTTACCGCATGACATCAGAAAATTAAGAAAGTGGCACTTGCCGCACTGCTCCCTGGTGACCATTAGTGCACACGAGGTGGGGGAAGATGAAACCTGCCAGCTGCGGGCTTGAACCCTCTTTCTCGGGGTGGGGGGAGGGAGGCCCTGCAACCACAGAGCCTCTCACCAAGCTTGGGGTCCTGTTCCCCGTGTGGATGAACATGCTCAGAGACCAGCGGGCAAGGGTGACGTGGTGATGGATGGGGGCTCCCTGGGCAGACTGGCGGCAGCAGCATTGAGCCCCGAGAACGGTAAGGAGGCGCCAGAAAAGATTGAGGGGTGGGGCTGCTCAGCGGAACCTCCCTCGCGCAGCAGCACGATCTAAGAGCCGCCGCCCCAGGAAGGTCAGCAGCTCCCCGTCAGCTCTGCCTCTTCTTCCTCCTGAGCTTGAAGGAAAGCCAGGGGGGCTTCAGGGAGGGAGTGTCTCACCCACAGTGTCTTACCCGCTGCAGTGGGTCGACTGTGGCCAAGAGGCTGGGCTGAGAAGCAGGATGAAGCGGGTGCCTGTGGCTGGTGGTGAGAAGGGGAGCCTGACAGCTGGGCTAGTGGGCGATGGCGGGAGGGGCCCGCCGTGTCCGCTGAGCACCTGCTACTCTCCAAGTGCTTGCATGGTGGTGGAACACACCCGCTCGGAGTTTCATCACTGCAAGATGCATAGGGCAAAGGTATGGACTCCAAATGAGAAGCAGTCAGGGGCGGGGCAGCGGGGAGGGACGGATGGAGGATTGGGGGCATCTAGTTTCCCTTCCGCCACAGCCTGGGTGAGTCCAGCGTCCGCGGCCTGACCCCGAAGCTCCCGCCTGGCCTGACCTGCCTCTCTGGGGGGCTCCCCGGGACCGCCCATGCCTCGCCCTCCTGCCCTTCTCTAGGGAAACTACCCCAGTGTGGCCTGACCCTCTGGGGGCCAAAGTGGCTTGAGCAGCCCATGTTCCGGGGCATCCCACAGTCCCAGGGCTACCATCCACAGCCAGCGTGACGGCCGTACCATGCTGTTCTGCTTGGGTCTGGACGTGCAGTGGTTGAGACGGAGAGGAAGAGGAAGCTGTGGGTGAGCAGAGGGCTGGCAGTGCCAGCCAGGGGCCTGAGACCCCTCACTGATCCCCCCTTGGAGGGATCCTCCAGGTTTCCTGTCCACAGAGCCCCTGCTCTACACAGACCCTGTCCTTCCTCGCAGGTACCTGGACCTGGAGGGAATGTCTCCACCCTCGAGGAGGAGCCGGGGTCGAGAGCCGGTGCACCGGGGACCTGCAGAGCTCACCGGGCAGCCGTGGTCGGGGGGTGGGGTGGCGTCCCCCTGGGGCTGCCCCCGGCTCCGCTGCAGAAGAGATGGTCATGAGGTCCTCAGGGTCATCACAGGGATGGGGCGCCCACAGCGGCAGGGGCGTGGACGGCTCCCCAAGGCCATTCCTTCATCCTCAGCCTCCGCCATGCCTGCCACTCACCCTTTCACAGCCATACTCAGCCATCTTCTCAGAAGACCCCCTCCTTCCTCTGGCCTCTCTGAGCCCCCTCCTTCACCTCCGTGCCCTGCAATGTCTCTTTCTGTATTTGATCACCTATGACCAGGTGTCACCGCGTGCCCTCCTTTTCATGGAAAGACTGTGAGACCTCATGAAAGCAGGGACCACACGGGGCCCCCATCGCCCCATGCTCACATGCCCACCGCACGTCCTGGGGAAGGGAAACCGGACTGGAGATCAATCCAGAGAAGGCCAGGGCACCAATGTCTCTCTCTCATCCTCTTGCCAAACTCCACCCCCAGGGAGAAGAAAGGGATAGAACTTAAAATGGTGCGAGCGTGTTAAATCCATCCAACCGAGCATGTAAGACGTGCACTTCACCTAAGTCACCTCTCAAACTAGGTTCAAGCAGAGGCCAGTGGTCTGCACATCTGGAAGGAAAAGCACCAGCAGCGCCATGGACAAACAGCCCCCTCCCAGCTGCCCAGGGATGCACAGAGGGACAGGGGTCTAAGGGGGCAGCCTTCTCTCAGCGCTGGCTTCCAGCGTCTCTGCTGAATCACAGGTAATAATCTGAGATCTCTCCAGGGAGCAGGACTGAAAGTGTGGGGTGGGTGAGGGGAGCCGGCCTCCGGGGGACCCCTGACTGTGACAATGGGGACAGGACAGTGGGGACGGTCCAGCCTTTGTGTCCCGGCCCTGAGCTGCATTCTGGCTTTTTGGGTATCCCTGTTCAGTCAGTTTCCCCTTCTGTGAAATGGGAACACTACTCCTCGCCCTGCCCCCTTCACGGTAGGCTTAAAATGAGATCAGAGACGTGAACGGGCTGGTCCATCACTTACTCTCCTGTTTCCTCAACACACGTCATGCACATGTGTTCACTTCTACTCCTCACAACCCAGAAAGATGAGATAACTTACTTGTAAGAACCCACGTCTGTCCATAGTAATCCCCAAACTTCTGTCCACCAGACCATGACCCATGACTCAAAGGGTGGTGACTGCACAGGGCAGGGCAGGACAGGGAAAGAATGGCTTCGAGAAGGCAGTGGAAGCTGCCCAAACTGCTGACCCAGGAGCATAATGGTGAACAGGATGATGAGGCCACGGGAACCAAACTGATGACCTTGCCAGGGAGTACCCATCCCCCTCCTGCCTCCCCATCACCACCACCACCTTCTGCTTCCTCCTTCTTCCCAAGGGCCGCCCCAGGCAAAAACAAAACTGTCCCTGGCGGCCCTTGCCCCTGTGCTGAGGAAGAGTAGGGGGGCTTGAAACAGCAGGTGGTCCATTAAAAAACTTCTAATATTTGACCTTGAGGGTCACGCTTGGCCTTGGGCTTGAACGTGTGAGTTTCACGCGGAAGAGGACCCCAGCTCCCAAGGCCTCAGGAAGGTCAGAAGCTTCCTTCCCACCCCCAGCACCCCTGTAACCATCCTGACCCCACTGCTCATCTGTCTCACACCACAGCGACCTTCTCGCAGACATTTCCAGAAGCTGGTAGAATGTGTGTGTTTCAAAGGACCACTGCAGGCAGGCCAAGCGTTAACAGCACTTCATTATAGGGGAGCACTAACTATAGAAAAGCCCGTCTCTGCATTCGTGTTCCAAGGCAGCAGGTCGAGTATTATACGTGCTGCCTGTTAGGAAAGAGAGAGCAGAAGTGCTGATTCACCTTGCCCTGAGTCCTGTGTGTTCCCTTCATCGTTCTGTTTTCCTGTGCTGCCCTGAGACCCGAGAGGTCTAGCCCACTTCTGTTTTCTGAGTCTCTTAGTACTCTACCCAAAGAAGAGATTCCAAAAAAGGATTAATGAAAATGACAGCATTTAACAAATCAACGCTTTTGATATGCGACACACACACACACACACACACACACACACACACAGAGCAAGAAATTGGACTATTCTTTAGACAGCTGCAAGATTTATAAAAATATTAATTCATGGTGTGGGCTGGTCACGGGACCCCGGTGTCAAGTTATGAGAAAGGTACCTTCTCTCCTTCCCAGAAGGGGAAGTCCCATAAATTCTGGGCCTTTAAGGAGAAATTCACTGAAAATAATGTCAATATTAAGTTTGAGGAAATGTTCTGAAATTGGGTTCTGGCAATGGTTGTATAACTCTGTAAATGGACTAGAAATTATTGAATTATACATTTAAAAGGAGTAAACTTGATGGAAGGTAAGTTCTACCTAAATTTTTAAAAAGCAAAGTTGAAGGGAACCAGAAGGTCCTCTCTCTACCCCACCCCGACCCCATCCATCGTCTTGACCCCGGCCTGCCTTTCTCCTTGGGTTCCCCCCCCCCTCATCTGCCCCTCCCCCACTTCCTGATCAAATGGTTCAACATCAAAGAGCTGATTGCCTCCTTCTTGCAAAACTGAAAGGGAACAGGAGAGGCTGTCAAGGTGCCAGAGATGAAGTCATCAAAAAACTTTCAACAGAGGGGATGAGTGTCCGTACCTCGCGCTCCCTGGGGAGCCAGGAATTAAGTGCAGGGGTGTGGTTGCTGTTCGTCGGTAGAGCTGCAGGCAAGATCTACTTACTGCCTTGGCCGGGCCTCCACCCTCCCTGCGCCCAAACCATGCCTACCCGCTCCATCACACTCTGAATTCCAGTGCCTTCTGTGTTTCAACTCCTGTCTGCCCACCTGGCTCCATCTCTGCTTGTCTGTCCCATCTCTGGTTGGCCCCAAGGGGACACACGAGGGCCCCCGGAGACTCAGGGTGACGGGGAGGGGAGTGAGTAGGGGCAGTGGAACTGGGGTGGACCAGATGACCAAACCTAGCCTTGGAACAGGCAGGTTATGGGGCAGTGCTGGGAGGTCCAACAGGCCTGGTCCTAATTTCCAAGGTGGCCGGAACCAGGGAATACCAGTCAGTCAGCCAAGAAGCAGTGCAGCAGGGACTAGAGAAGTTGCTTTCCTTAGAACCTCGGCAAGGACGCAACTGGCCAGCCATGGGCAGCCCCTGTCGCCATCTGTCGGTGATTGCCAGAACTGCCGGCTTTCTGGGGCAGGTAACTTGGTTCCCGTCTCTGGAAGTCAGGAAGTAGAGAGGCTTCTGTCCGGGTATCCAGGTGTGTGGCACTGATCCTTCCAGATCCCCCAGCCAGTAGACCAGGAACAAGAGGAAGGCTCCAGTCCCTTAGAAAGAAGATGTAGGGCCTTCAGAGAGGCAGGCTGGCCCTCCGTGGTGGAGAAGGAGGGGATGAAAGCAGAAGGGGTGGAAGGGATGGAGAAGGAAACGGGGCGGTGCCCAGCTCGCAGGCCAGGAGGGATGGCAGATGCCAGAGCTCAGGCTCCGGGGTCTCTCGGGCTCCTGGTTCGCAGCCAGTGAGACCAGGAGGGGCTCAGATGCCCAACTAGACCACCAGCTCTCAGGCCAGCCTGGGACGGTCCAGCTGCCCCATTAATGTGGGCACGCTGTTGATCCAATTCCTGCCTCCTTTGGAATGTTCTAGAGGAGGGGTGGGGCTGAGGCTGCAGGTGTGGGGGAGGAGCAGCCTCACCTCCGGTTGGGAAGCAGAGACAGGGAAGTGGGTCTCACACACCCCCGCCCTCCCCTGCCGGTAATGTCCTCCACTGCAAGGATGTGGGTTCAGGGCTGCACCACCCCAAGGCTCCCTGCTGACAGGAAGCCCTTTCTGAGGATGTATTCAGGCCACAGGGACTCAAGGATGAAAGCTTAAATGCTGCTGAGGTTTCCAGGTCTAGATAACAGGAGGCTCAGCTCTTGTCATGGGCAGAGTGCATGTTTGTATGTACGTGGGGGAGAGGGTAGGAGACATAGCACAGCACTGCGGGGGCCTGGTGGGGTGAAGCAGAAGAGGCATGATCCTGGTACGGCTTACCAATTCCGCTCACCACATTTGTTTACACAGAAGCTGGCAGGGGTCTTAACCCTGGATGCATATTAGAATCTCTCGGGGAGCTTTTTAAATTTTTTTATAATGTTCTATGTCAATTATACCTCAAGCTTTTTTAAAAAAATTAACCAATTTATTTATTTTTGGCTGTGTTGGGTCTTCGTTGCTGTGCGCGGCGCGGGCTTTCTCTAGTTGTGGCGAGCGGGGGCTACTCTTCTTTGCGGTGTGTGGGTTTCTCATCGCAGTGGCTTCTCTTGTTGCAGAGCACAGGCTCTAGGTGCGCGGACTTCGGTAGTTGTGTCATGAGAGCTCAGTAGTTGTGGCACATGGGCTTACTTGCTCCAAAGCATGTGAGATCTTCCCGGACCAGGGCTCGAACCCATGTCCCCTGCATTGGCAGGCAGATTGTGAACCACTGCGCCACCAGGGAAGTCCCTTGGGGAGCTTTCTTAAAACATCCTTGCCTAAGTCCTTCCTCCATCTCCCTCCCCCTTTTCCCTACCCAACTGCACCTGGAGATTCACACTCAGCGGGTCTGGGTGGAGCCCTGGCATGGCGTCATGCTCTGAGGGAGAGGGAGGAGAGAGAATGCTACAGGGGGAGAAAAGAGGTTTCAGACAAACCCTGGACACATCCAGGAGCAGGTGGAGGAAGCACAGAAGTCTGCCGGGGAACTCAATTCAGGGAGCCACTCTCTAACCCCTAGACCACCAAAACTCTCCTGAGAAGGAGAGGGCTCAAACGGGGGACTTGACGTGACTGGGGGATTTGGTGTCCCATCCCCAGTCCTTCCACAGGGTCAGATCCATAAAGGTGGCTCTGAAAATGAATGGATGGATGGATGGATGGATGGATGGATAGATAGATGCTGAGAGTGATTAAGAGTGTAGACTCTGGGTCTCACTGTCTGGCCAGCCCTGCCTATCCTAGGAAAGCCACATCTTTCAAAGGCGCAGCCCACCCCTTCCCCTCAGACTTTGTCCATGGACCCCTACCTCTACCCCAGCCCCACGTGACGTCACACTTGGACGGGCTGCCCTGAACCCGAGGGCCAGGACACGTCCCTCCAGGTCGACTGTTCCAGCCAAGATCCAAGATCCTGCCATACTCTCTGGCTCCACCAGGGGGCACACTATGCCCAGGCACCATTTATTCATTTATTTGACAAATATTTAATGGATATCTGGGCTGTACCAAGAACTGGGCCCAAAGACAGGAACATGAAGATAAAAATACAACAATTCTCCTTTCCAGGAGTTTGTGGTTCAGGGGGAAACACGGAAACAAAGACAGGAAAACACAAAAGATTACCCTTAAAAGGTAGAAGTGATTCTGAGGTCAAGGCAGAAATCCAAGTGGCCTGCGTGGAGGAGGGGTCACAGATCCGACACAGCGATCAGCACAGACAGGCGGCCCAGGGCCCCGCACCCTCCTTCTCAGTCCCACTGGATCTCTGCCCTCCTGGAGATATTCTGGGATGTGGATGGACAGAGCCCTTGAAAATTCCAGAAGGATGTTTGTCCTGTTCCCAGCCGGCTGTGAACACAGATCCCGGGCCCGCCTCAGACCTCCTGCATCAGGGTTCTCCAGGGCTGGGGACCGGGAATCTGTCTTTTTTATTTTGGGGGTGTTTTTTTGGCCTCACCACGGCTTGTGGTATCTTAGTTCCCCAACCAGGGCTTGAACCCGGGTCACGGCAGTGAAAACACCAAGTCCTGACCACTGCACCGCCAGGGAATTCCTGTATCTTTCATTTTTCACAAGACCCCCCAGAAGATGCCTACAATCAGATAAGTTTAGGAAATTACTGTGCAGGATTCGTGGGATACCTGGGACTCTACTTGTGCTCAGAGGTGGCAGAGAGGATAGGACAGGATAGGACTGTGCCTTACACATGGTGGCCAACTCAATAGATATTTATTGAATGAAATGAAATCAGTGGGAGTGGCTTAAAGAGCTCTCTGGTACCTGCACAGGGGAATGGAGATCAGCAGCTCCCCAGCATTCCTCAGACAGTGTCAGGATTCCCATTGGGTTCCCAGAGGTCTGGGGCATTAGGGTGAGTGACGGAGGGCCCTAGAGTCCTAGTAGAGTTTAATGCCACCGCACTCACATGCCTCTGCATCCCTGAGCATCAGAAATATTTGTTAAAGCGTTGCACAAGCAACAGAAAGATAACTGTGCCTGTGGTGACCCAGATTCTCCCAAAGCTGTGTTAAGATTAGACTAACAGGACTTCCCTGGTGGCGCAGGGGTTAAGAATCCGCCTGCCAGTGCAGGGGACACAGGTTCGAGCCCTGGTCCGGGAAGATCCCACATGCCACG